TATGTTGTTGTTGCTGTGGCACCTGTGGTTCTTGTGGTGGTGGATTTTGAACATTAGTGCTCCGGTAGGAAAGGTATGGATGATTCCGATACCCAAGATTGTAAGTGTTGGAGTATGGGTTATTCTGCCTATAAGATTGGAAGGCATTAACTTGCTCCACAGAACTCCTGCAATCCTGCTCCCAATGACCTACAATACCACAATTTTCACAGAAAGCCTCATTAGAATTATTAATCGCAGAAACATTGGCTACATTAGTAGTGCTCAGATTATCTAATTTTTGGCAAATAGAGGTCAGTTGAGCTTGCAAAAAGGATACAGAGTCGACATTATGTTTCCCCTTATTAGCATATCCTTTGGGATTCCCATATTGGGAATTGTGTATCGCCATATCTTCAATAACCTGACTTGCATCATCAACATTGAGATTCATGAATCTCCCACTAGCTGCAGAGTCTAAAATTATTCTAGAGGAATTTCCAATGCCGTTATAAAAGGCTTGGATTAACTGCCATTGTGCTAAATTATGGTGGGGGCATTCTCTTTGTAGGTCCTTGAACCTCTCCCAAGCCTCATATAAAGACTCATCGGCTTCTTAGGCAAAGTTCTGAACCGCACTCCGTAGTACTGCTGTTCTCTCTGCAGGATAATACTTGTTATAGAAATTCAAAACAAGAGTTTCCCAGTCAGTTATACCAAGTGTAGTTCTATTTAAGCCATTAAACCACAATTTAGCTTTTCCAGTTAAAGAGAAGGGAAAGAGAATCTCCCTGATTTGGTCTTGAGTGACCCCGGCTTGCCTGATGGTGTTACAATATTGACAATAGTCGGCAATGTGAAGATTTGGGTCTTCACCCTTGGCTCCACTGAATTGCTTCCTCTCTATCATCGTTATAAATTGAGGTTTAATTTCAAATTGAACCCCATCAAGAGCCGGAGTAGGGGTGAGATGTGGAAAATTCGTAAGCTTTGGTTGTGAATAATCACTAAGCTTCTTTGGAGCCGCCATCTCTGATTCTGTGTCTGATGATGTCTCTGAATTGCTAGAATCAGTTGGAGGATCGCGGTGATTATTGTTATTATCACCAGAATCCGCCAGGATTTGCTTGTAGAAGTTTTTCTGTCTATGGAAGGAACGTTCGATCTCAGGATCGAATGGGATGTAACCTGATCTTGAACACCTGGGCATAAACAAAAAACTAAAAGCAAATATGAGATTTGTCTCAGAGAACTAACGCTCTCTGAGACAAAAGAGAAATAATCTAGACTACAAAAAAAAAAAACAATCAAAAATAAAAATAAAACCGTGTCCCCGGCAACGACGCCAAAATTTTGACAGGGTAAAGTCGTATCCCCTAATCAAAAATAATTACCTAAATCACTAACTAAGGTAGATAGTAGGGTCGATCTCCATAGGGAAACAAGTCTTTTTACTTCTAATTAATTATTATAATCTAAATTATTTAAGTGACCAATATTTATAATTAAGTATGAAACTAAACTACAAAGAATAAGAGTAGGGAGAGAACGATATATAAAGGGATCTAGGGCGTAGGTTCACCAATAAATAATACTCCAGGGTAAAACATAGTAATCAATCATTGACATTGCATAAATAACATGATTAACAGGCTCTCGCAATTTATTAATCAACATAGATCTAACAGGCTCTCGCAATTTACTAGATCTAAGTCCTTATTGAAAATAGCCTTTAATATCAAATTAACATCTGCTCGATTCATCAATTTAATATTGCTATACTTTTACAAGCCGCAATTGTAAAACATTATAACAATCCAATAAGAAATTATCATGCAATACCAATAATCAATAATAGTCAATCATCAATGCATCAATTAACCAGATTGTAAAGGGCTCTCGCTACTTATTACAATCACACAATTAATTTACCGGTATTAAATCTCATCTCTCGAATCTTGACTTAACCATTTATAAATTAACTTGCCTATTGAAACTAGACCTAAACATTAATTCTCATCTCTCGATTCTTGAATAAATATTGTCAAACTCATGCATAAAAGATAGGCCTAATCTAGTCACAGAGCATTAATCCAATCAATAGGAAATTAATCTAGCATTGATAATCAACGACAATAAATTACCCCCTTCGTATTATTTATTAGATCCCCATAAACCCTAGAAATTAAACTACTCACACATATTAAAAATTAAACTAATCAAAGTAATAATATAAATCATGACGAAAGGAATAAAATAAATAACTAAGATTAAGGGAAGAGAAATCGTTACCAAAATAAATCTGGAATTAATGAAAGAATTAAGAACAAAAGTTTAGAGAGAGATTAAGAGAGAGAGAACTAAGTAGAGAGAGAAAGTCTAAGAAAGAAGAGATACTAAAATCGTATTACGTAGGAGTATTTATACTCCGTACAAAAATCCTAAACTAAAACAAATTAAAACGACGCTAATTGTCTCCTAAAAATACACGCGCCCGATCGGGCGAGGCACCGCCCGATCGGGCGCGCCTTTTTTACTCTAACACTAATCTCGTGCCCGGCCGGGCGCGTCATCGGGCGCCAGACCAAGCTTCTCCCGCCCGGCCGGGCGCGCCTCCGGGCGCCAGCCTTTTTGGCCGGGCGGCTCATTTGGGCCAATATTTGGACTTCGATTGGGCTCCAATTCTTCGGGCCAATCTGGGTTTCCTCTTTGGGTCTTGAATACTCGGTCCAAATGCCCCGGTATCACCTATACCGAGCCCTTAATCACCGGTTCGATGGCTCTAACCGGCCTTGGGCTATAAAATCTGGTCGTGTTTCTCCAATGCTCGTGATTGCTCCAAAATATCTCGGGAAAATACTCCAAAAGCATAAATCCCTGCAAAAGTCAACCAAATCTACGAATACACTGGAAAACACCAATTAGTAATAAAAGTGGATCTAAAGAGCCAAAAACACTACTAATTATGACCGAGGGACGGGGGTAAAATACTATATAAAATAGACACATCAATACACTAACTCACTTTCGCAGGAATCACGAATACATTTAGCGTATGTATTAAGCACTTTAAACCCCTTAGATTGCTCTAGAGGACGAGTAAGCTCTCGTAAGGGTGTCCTAAGAGTTTAACCCATAACTCTTGACAAAAATCAAGGCAAGGCAATAAATAAATAAAATAAAATAAATTGAAGTAAGAGAAAAGTTACAAGTGTTCTAGAGTGGACTTTTATGATGGAACAAACACTAATGAATGTCAATCTTTCTAAAATAATAAAGGTATGCACGTTCTAAGATGTCCAAGGTTGATTGAAACATAACATAAGCTAAGCATAGAGAACTTAAGGAAACACATTTCACCTTTTGTTCCAACCAATCAAACCACGTTCGCTCTACTAGTTTCAAATCCACTTTCAAGTTATCTTTTCATGATTCACGAAGGAACCGGAAAATAAATAAGAAATTAAAAACATTGAGAAGGTTACCCGACATCTTGGCTATGCAAACTCGCTCTATAGGCTTGATTCCTATTTCCCTCCATCATTGAATGACTTAACCCTCTAGGATCAAAAGGACTTTCAAGGTTGTAGCATATAGGCTAGGAGAGTAAAGGTGTGGAGAACTTTTGAAATTGGTGGTAAACCTATGTAAAGCCCGGGTGGAACTTCTTCCACAAGATCCAAACGATTCCAAAACAAAAGTACCAAGTATGCTTATTAAATAACTTTCCCCCAAGCTTATTTAACACAAGATAACAATAATAGGGAAAACAACAATAACAAAACCTTTTTTTTTGTGCTTTACATTCTTCTTTACTTTTTTTTTCGATATATTCTTTTTCCAAGCTTTTGCTTTTTTTTTTTTAATTATTTTTTTTTATTTTTTATGTCCTTGCCTCTTTTAACTTTGGACGACTTTTTCTCAAAATGCATTTGGTTTTATGCACAAAATTATATACAACACATACTTGCTTTGCAAATGAACTCATAATTCTAAACTTGCACCATAAACAATAAAACAAGCTCCAAAACAAAATTGCTTCACAAACTAAAGGTAGAAGTTAAAGTGAAACCAAGGCTGGAAGACTTGTATTATGGTTAGAGAAAAGAATATATATGGCTCAAATGGGCTAGTTATAGGAGCAAATGCAAACCAAATCCAAAAATTGAAAATTAATACTATAAAAAGAGAAATGTCTTTGTCATCCCCTAAAGTGGCTTAGTTGCGATCTTGGGAGCTAATAGTCAAGTTCTAGATATGAGAATGCAATAGCCAAGGATCCAAATATGCCGCTCAACAAAGTATGATGAAGACTTAAACAATTATACCTCACTAGGGATAGCAATAACTAACTCTTGATTTCATATCCACTATAGAGAGCAACTCCATCTTACCACAAGCAAGTGAACTAGAGCTTTATGGTCCCAAAGTTCTTAGCCAACTACCTTAGCATACCATATCTTAGAGTCAATCTAACACATTCTCAACCCGTGCACACCTCTTAAATTTAGGAAGAAAGCCATTAAAGAATACAAGTCCAAAAGTATTATGTCCAAAGCAATTTTTTTTTTCCTTTTCTCACATTGGATTTTTTTTTCAACTTTTGAACACATTTTCAATTGTTTTACCAATCATAATGAATTACGTATTTTGCTTTTTAATTTTTTTTTAAATAAAAAATTAAAATACTCAACCAATCATGTAGTGCCACGTGTCCCCGTAACTTGATATAACAGGTTGGGTGACCTGTTGGGACCATTCAAAGCGAACTACCCCTAAAGTTCGGATTATTTAAAAATAATCAAAAGTTGGGATTATTTTGAGCGAATCGGTAAAATTTGAATTATTTTTATCAATTTTTCCTAAATTTAAACTAATACTCCATATTCCGTACTTTTTAAAAAGGTTTACTTTAAACCCTTAAAAAGGTCTACGCTATCTCATAATTGGACGATCATATATAAAGACTCAACCCATTTATTTATTATTATTAGACGGATCTATCCCTTTAATAACTGTGACGGCCCTGACAGGTCATAAGGGATTCATAGATTGCTCTCTCTCAGACTAGTGAGATATCCATTGAAGCGCACTCAACGTTCTCCATTGAAGCGCAGTTGGCGTTCTCCGTTGAATCTAGTTTTTGTATCCCCCATTGAAGCAACTTCTGAGGTAAGTTGTTTGTATTTGTTATCATCACATCAAGTATCTCTGAAATTATGAGATCGATAATTGAATCAAATATTCCTATAATTATGAATCAAATTTGGTTGCTAATGTATTGCATAACACTTTAATGTTAGGATTTAACTATGAAATCAGAGCTCTTTTCCATGAGCCCAGGGCTGCCGCCCCTCCTGCCCTGCCTCAGGGACGGGCCTGCTTTCTTTGTTCTTCACAGGGGTTCTTCTTCTTCTTCTTTGTCGCGGCCGAAATCCAAGAGGAAATTAAATGAAGAAGCTGTGAATGAGTTTGATGATCGTTATCTATATAATTTGAGAATTAGTGCTTTTCATTATGTGTGGTCCAACATTGACACCACCATCAAGGTAATTATCACACCCCTTTTACTGAATGTGTATGTATAATATATAGTTATTGTTTTAGAGAATTTGCTGGACATCTTACACTTTCCTAAGGTATTTGTTTGGATTAGAACTAGGATAGGAGATATACTATGAATGTACTTGAATCTTAATGGAAATAAAATGGGGGAATGGTATGGTGTTAGTAAATAATGTGTCAAAGTTAATTATGGATAGTTTAAATATCCTAATGTTACGATTAGGAAAGAACAGAGGAAGTATGCCTTTCATTTAAGTCGCACTATAAGAGTAAGCAGGTTGAAATTTTGAAATTTGGATTTCCTTGATTGAAATTTTATGTATAAATATTTTGAAATAATTTATGCAACCTTTCTTCATGCTAAATTGGTATTCTTCCTTAACCATTGATTTTTTTTTTTAATTTTTAATTTTTTTTTATTTTTTACAGGGTGTCCTCAAGGAAATCAACTTAAGCATATTTAATGAAGTGAGTTCTTGGGTTCATCAATCATTTAAAGCAGTGAGATCATGTGGGGAACCGGGCTATGCTGAAACCACTCATCCATATCCTATAGCCCTTGATGCCTTGTCGAAACAAATCTACACTGGGCTCGTATATACCAGTAATAATTCTACCCAAATCTTTATTTGTGCTAACACGGTGTTACATCTGTACAAGTTTCTGTAGTTCATACAGGATACTACTTTTCTTAAATTATTAAGTAGCAAGTGGCCTGGAGAGAGAACATGTAGAGAGAATAAATTGGATGCATGAGTGTAGGGGATTAATTTTGTATAAATATTAGAGAGGAATAACCTGCTTAAAGTAGATTGTATACTTTAAAATGGGAGGTCTATTATTGTTAGATGTATACTTGAATATTTGATTGTTTTCTCAAAAAGATAGAGGTGTGGAGCTTTTGAGATTTCCAAACTCTCTCTATGAATTTTAATAAGATTATCATATATAGTGATGCCTTTTTAATTATATACTACTATCAGTATGACTATCAAGTAACTGACAAGTGACTACAACATAATAATTTAAATAATTCAAAAGTTAACAACAACGAAATTTTATATGTTGTCTGCAGAAAATATGGAGTTTGTTGATGATCAACTTACCTTTGAAGAACTTGGCAATCACTTGAAGTCTGGTGGCTGCCATGTAGCTAATATGTCATCACTGGACTTCTCAGCTAAGAATGGGATTGGTGGTTGTTTGAGTTGTTTATTGAGAAAGTTTCTGAAGGTTGCACTGGATGTAAGTACCTTGTATTATATGCATGCTGCAAAAGATTCTCTAGCCTTAATCTACCTTTAAGAGTTACTTTTATATTTTCTGTGCAGGATGCTGATATGTCCATTCTGGCATCATGGTACTGTGGACAAAGGGAGTCTACACCAGTAGTCATAATCATTGAGGACATGGAGAGATGCTGTGCTTCCGTTTTGTCCAATTTCATTTTGATGTTAAGGTATTTAAGCTGTTGCCCATCCTTTGTTGGAAAGATAGAAGGAGATATAATTTCATTCACTTTTAACAAATCTGAGGAAATTTCATTTTTCACAGTTTCAAAAGCCAATCAATGCATAGCAGTTGCATTCTGAAGCAATGTCTGCAGTCTATTATCTTAGCTAGCTTTATACCAAAACATTTTTACTTTTAATCCATGATGTCCTCCAAATTTGTTTCTTAATAGTTATTGGCCAGTGGCAAATACCGGTTAAGTCCAGATATTAATTTTTTGTTAATCAAACAAAGCAATCAAGCTGATATATTTGTTGCTTCATGTTGGTGAGTTGCAAATGAACTGAGTCAGCCCAGTCAGGCTCATTTTTAGTTTGTTGGAGCTAAGGTTCATAAGAATTATTCCTTTGTTTTTTCGTAATAGTTCCATTTCTAAATGGTACGACTTTTAAGAAATGTCTTGTAGGTGTTGTAACTTGTAAATTACAAAAGAGCCATGGAACTAAAACAAATAGTTAGAGAGTCCATGTGGGGTTTAATTGAGGAGTTCACCAGTAGTTATTGCTGCCACCCTTGCTTAGACCGCCATGCACACCCACCACCTTTATAAAATCACTACTAAAGTTCACTTGACCCACAAAACAACTGTTGTTACTGCTTGAATTCATCTAAAACCACATCCACCATCCACCATCCACCTAAACTTAATCATCACAAAACAAAAACCACCACCATCACAAATTGAGCCTACCCAAATTGACCATCATCACAAACCAAAACTCATAACCCTAACAAATTGAGCTTAACCAAGCCTACAACACGAATCTACTACTCCCTTCGTGATTTATTACTTGCTCCATTTCTCCATCCGTGGAGTTTTTGGAGGAATAGTGGAAAGTAATAAAGTATGATGGAAGTGGGGTTGGCTGAATAATAAAAAAAAAAAATCTAAAAAAGAAAAAGTGAGTATAAGTGGGGAGGAGAAAGAATATTAAAAATATTAAAATATGATATAAGGGGACCACTCGTGGGGAGGAAAATAGTAAAGTAATGTTTTATGTTTCCAAAAAAGGAAATAGAGCAAGTAGTAAATACGACCACAAAATGGAAGTGGAGCATGTAATAAAATACAGAGAGAGTATATAGTTTGTGCAACACTTAAATGTCCAAACCCACCATCTACACGAATTAAACTTGTTTGTATTATTATTTTATCAAAAGGCCATGAGAGAGATGAGACTATTCAAGCCCACAAAGCCACCATTTATTGGAGTGGAGGAGATTGAAACGTTGGACGAGAAAGGTGAGTGAATGGGTTGCAGGAGATAGAGTAAGTGACATCTCATTAAGTTGTTGGAGTTGGACACTAGGGGTAATTTTGTTGTTGGTGGTGGGTTGGTGCTCTCATGGTGGGCTTGTAAGGATGGGGATGGATGGAGTGAAGGAGATTGAAACGTTGGACGAGAAAGGTGAATGGGTCACATTTGGAGGAGATAGAGTAAGTGACATCTCATTAAGTCGTTGGAGCTGGACACTAGTGGTAATTTTGTTGTTGGTGGTGGGTTGGTGCTTTCATGGTGGGCTTGTAAGGATGGGGATGGATGAAAGGGGACTATAAGGTAGAGAAAGTTAGGAAGGAGAGAGAGAGAGTATGGTCGTATGAGGGACTGAGGGTGATAAGTAAGGATAATATTGACTTTTGTTAAAGCTTAAAAGTAAATGTAACAATTATTTTTGGATGGTAGAAAATGGAAAGTGGTGTAATTATAAAATTTAATGAAAGAAGTATTAGTGTTTGAGCTAGCTTGTGCTTGAATAGGCTTCTATAATAATTATTATTATTATTATTATTATTATTATTATTATTATTATATCTCAAAAACATACAAAATTATACTACCTATAGAAAATTAGTGGGAAGCCGAGAATCAATCTGGGCCCCCAAAAATGGCTTCGCCCAGGGCTTCTATAATTCTTATTGTAATATTATTATTATTATTTTTTATTATTATTATTTTTTATTTTTATAATAATAATATTAATATTATTATTATTATAAATATCAGAAAACCTACAAAGTCAATCAATTTACAAGAAATTGGTGGGAAGCCGAGATACAATCTGCCAATCTGGCCCCCCACCCCTCTAGTTATAGCAAACCCGATTCTGCTGAAAATGTGCAGCTGCACGAGCACTAATATCCTGAGCGAACGCCTGTGCAATCCTTCTCTAATTCTCCCAACGAAGAAAAAGAGAAAGGAAGAAAACCATAGCCAATAGCCCTGTAACGCGCCCTATACTTGTCGCGCTTCCGCTGAGCTGCCGCCGACACAACACGACGAGGAACGAAGTCAGATAACCCCGATTGTGTCGAAGGTGAAGACCGTCAAGTCAACACATACATCAAGGCCTTTATCCCAGGAATAAAGAGACAAAGACATCTGCTCCGTCGTTCCCTCCAAACAACCCAACGTTAACCTTCTTTCGAGCAGAAATCCCTGACCGAAAACAAATATCAACAAGGGTGTCACGAACAACGTTATGCCGATGTTTAATACCCACCATCCCAGAACAAGACATTGCATGATCCCCATAATTATCCCCATAAAAAACCCTCGAGAAACACGGTGTTGAAACGGAGAACAAAGAAACACCTAGCTGGTAGCAAAGAACACTACGGTAAGTCTTACCATTCATAGTCCGACCCAAACCCAATATTGGGACCGTTCGCAACCAGGCCGAAGAGTGATCCCCCGTTGGGACTTCCATAAGGCAACCTGACGCGGAGATAAGGAGAAAGTGGATTCCGCGGATGCAATGACCTTCGTGAATTATTATTATTGTTATTGTTATTATTATTTAATGTTTTTTTTTTCTTTCTTATATTCAAAATATTTAAGTATGTAAAAATAATTAATATTTCATGTACTTTTTTTGATTTTGATTAACCTTTGAATAAGTTATAATTAGACATGAACATAGTCACATAAGAACTAAACGAGCTTTTCATGAACATTAATGAGTCGAAAAGAAGTTTTTCAAGCTTGACTCATTTACTTAACAAGCATAAGAGTTTTATTCAAGTTTGTTTATTACCTTAACAATTGAGTTATAATCGAGTTTTGATTGAGATTGTTCGCGAGTAGTTCGTGAACGTATCAACTCATTTTCCCTCTATGCTGGTCTTTTTTCTTTCTAGAAATTAATTATTTTTGGTCTTATGTAAATGATGAATAGATGCTTCTTTCACTTTGGTATTCAATTACTTAATTTTTTGCTTCCATTGGACCTAAGTTTCTAAGTCTTGCTCATTTTTTTTCCAGCAAATGGGTGGTTAAAATACCAGTCATCGTAGTAATGGGGGTCACAACGACGCTTTATTCGCCAGAAAATTTGCTATCTTCAAATGCATTATTGTGTCTACGCACTTGTAAATTTGTCTTGGGATCTCCAGCTCAAAGAATGGATGCTATTGCTGAAGCTGTTCTCTTAAGGCCTTGTTCAAGGTTTAATGTTGGCCACAAGGTGGCTGTTTTTATGAAAGATTATTTTTCGAAACATGATGGTACCTTGACTTCTTTTATCAGATCTTTAAAGGTACAACACCTAATTCCAATGCAGCTTATTAAGTTGAAGTTTTACATTGTGTGTTTTAATGATTGCCCTTTTTCTCTCCTTCCTAGATATCTTGTATGCTACTTTTCTCGTCCGAGCCTTTAAGCTTCTTGCTAAAAGACTTAGATGCTGAAGATGATTTTCAGGTTTGGTTTATACCCACTCCAATAATCTAAATTTTTTTTCACCTCATATTACTGCATGTATGATAATCTGCTCTTTTTTCTGATGATATTGATAACTGTCTTGTTTATTTTCTTCTGGACTGTTTTGGTCCACAAATGATCATATTATTGAAGAAATTCATGCAAAAGATCGTCTTGCAAAGCAACAAAATGTCATGTTTTTTGCTGCTGCTTTAATCACATAATATACAATTTTTTCTTTGCCACTATTATTCAACTGGCTTATCTTGTGAAATTATATTTCTTTCATTTCAGAATACTGTAATACATTCGATAACCACACTTAATTTAAAAGTGCGGCTTAGACACCCCCTAGGTGCAAGGTGCGAGAGCTGAGCTCTTCCAGGCGCAAAGATCTACGAAAGGCGGTGCCTACGTGCTTTTACTAGGTTCTTCCCCCCCTCTCCCCTTTTGTGCCTTATGTTGTCAGTGTCATTATTGATGTAGATAAAAAAAGAAAAACACCACGCGACTGACACTTGTCAAAAATAAATTCCTAACAAAACCAACTAACAATGTAGTAGGGTAAGTAGGGTCGAATCAACATAGAAATGGCTATTCAATCTAGCTTTCAAGGTATGAAGAAACTAAACTATGTCACGAAATTGGGATAAAAATATAGTCTAAAATAAAAGTGGGATAAAATAAATAATAAATAGACCTAGGGTGGGTTCACCATGTTTATAGTTCTAAATCTATCAAATATCAATAACAATTTAATCAATCAATTATCTAGAGCAATTGCTAAGCCTACGGTCGGGTCTTAACGCTCTCAATTCAACATATGTAGTTCGGTCGCTAACATAATCAGATTTGCTAATTGTAGGTAAGCCTTTAAAAGTAAGATCTTTCGATTCAAACTCTTATTAACAAGAATTAATCAAACAATTGATCAGGTTGCAAGATTAATAAGGAAACACTATCAATTAGAGAAATCAATAATCAAAATATTAAAAATACCAATCACGATTCATAGTATAAACATGGATTCCCAAACCCTAGAAATAAAACTACTCAAACATGAAAGAAATAATTACATCTAGATCTAATAAAGAAAACATAATTAAAGTAGAGAAATAAAATTACCTCTGAAATTAAAGCAACAAATTCAAGTTCCATGGATTTGTCCATGAAAAACTAGGGGTAGAGAGAAAACTAAAAAGAACGTAAAAATAATAAAAGATATAAAAGGCATAAGGGAAAATAATAATCCCTTGAGTATTTATAAACTTCCTAAGTTCTAATCTAAAAATAAATAAAGAAAAGAAATAAGAAAATAAAGATTACATAAGTTGAATTATTATTAGATGATAGAAGATGATGTGACCCGAAGACTTGTGACGATGTGGAATGAAAAAGCTACTCGAGGCTTCAAGGCTGCTTGACCAGACGTGCGGGCGTAGGCCGGTGGCCGCGGGCTGGCAGCTGCGGCTGGTGTCGAGTGGTCGCGGGACAGGGGCGCAACAACATCCCGCGGGTGGCTGTCTGCATCGCTTGGATTCAAACGCCTGTAACTTCTGTTTTAGGAAGCTTCTTGAGGCGTGCGACCTGTCATTGGAAAGCTCTTCAAGTCTAGTTTTCAATGCAACTTGAATTGCTTCAATCCGATCCGTAGAACTCAAGATATGATCAAAATAGTGAGCAAAGGTCATTTTTGATTCTTTGCAAACCTTCGTTTTTCTTCATTTCTAACTCAAATTCATTTCCGTAAAGTGCATAACGACCCTTGTGAATGCTATATTCATGTCTCATGCATATATTAATTAAAATCAACATCCACAAACATGGGATCTCCAATTAAGAAACTCAATTCATTGGCTTCCATCTAAATATCATCCGAATAAACTCCAAACACTTCGAAAGCGTCCAAATGACTATCAAATCACCTTAAACATTAAGAAAAACACAAACGAAGCGTTATAGAGCACAAAACAAACAACTTATGCATTTGCGACCTAAAAAGCAACAAAAAGACCTAAAAGACTACTATAAACTTAGCATAAACGTGCCTATAAATCCTATATAAATGTGATTCATCAGCGACTTTTCAACATTTAGATTTATTAAGGAGAGAGAAAACCGATCTGTAGAACTCAAGATATGATCAAAACAGTGAGCAAAGGTCATTTTTTATTTTTTGCAAATCTTCGTCTTTCTTCGTTTCTAACTCAAATTCATTTCCGTAAAGTGCATAACGACCCTTGTGAATGCTATACTCATGTCTCATGCATATATTAATCAAAATCAACATCCACAACATGGGATCTCCAATTAAGAAACTCAATTCATTGGCTTCTATATAAATATCATCCGAATCAACTTCAAACACTTCGAAAGCGTCCAAATGACTATCAAATCACTTGAAACATTAAGAAAAACACAAACGAAGCGTTATCAAACAACTTATGCATTTGCGACCTAAAAAGCAACAAAAAGACCTAAAAAACTACTATAAACCTAGCATAAACGTGCCTATAAATCCTATATAAATGTGATTCATCAGCGACTTTTCAACATTCAGATTTACTAAGGAGAGAGAAAACCCATATCCCCCAATTCCATTTGTAAATTCCTAGGTATCAATCACATGGCTCTTTCACCTTCGCTCATAATTCTTTTTAATATTATTGTATGAATAAAGTGGAGGCGTGCCTCTTTGCCTTGTGCCTAGGCTCCAAGGATTTTTGCGTGTGCATCTTGTGCACTTTAAAACTTAGTTCCCACATTATAAACTTGTAAACGTTGGTCAATGATTTGCTGAAGTTTATTTTGTAAGCCTACCTTGTTTATTATTTATTTATTTATTTTGCTGAGATGTTTTGAAAAGAAGGAACTAGAAAGTATATATGTAAGACCACCTTGGTTTTTATTAAATAAACTTTTGATCAAGAATAATAGGCATCGCATAGTATTAGCATGATCCTTGCTATTTATTTAATATGCATCATCATCTGATTGACTTGTTTATCTTGTAAAAGCAAAAATTGCATGTATTGCATGATACTCTATTTGTCGATCATGGTTGATCAAGGCTACAAGCATCCTTGACATCTTGTCTTGTCTATTGTAGAGGCCTATTATGTGGATAAAACATTCTAGACTGTATTTAGCCTTAGTGTTGCTTGGAGTTGCCTTTCAGTAATGCTATGTTAGGAATTTCGAAACCCTTAACGTTGCATTTTCTGTTGAGTTCTCTCACGTGTAGGAAATATGGGAAGAGAAACATGCGTTTATTCAGGATATCATGTTGAAACATTCTTCACAACTTTCTTGCAGAGGGTATGGTACTATGTAGAGATGCCATTATTTTAATTTTTTTTTTCCCTAGATTTTCTATTTGCTCTTGATACTAAGAATTCATCCATCTTATTAATGTTATGATGTTGGTGAACTAACCAGTGAAAACTTGATCCATGCTATTGGCGAGCTAAAGAGACTCCACCAACGCTGGATCACAGTAGTCAAGGTGAGTTGTCAAGCTTCTCCTTCTGTTTTCTTTCATTAGTTTTGTATATATTGTTTAAATCGAAAACGTAGTCTTGTTTTCAATTGTGGCTGTTGACTAAAATTTTACGTGAGTATACATTTGCTCTAGATTTTGTGGGTCCTCAATTCGTTATAAATATTAATTAACTATACTTTCTGCATTAATAGTAGGATTTACTCATACTAACCTTCTATTAAGCTTCACGCATTTAGATTTTGATGTTACTGATCTGATTGGGGAATATGAAACCAAAGATTTTGATGTTACTGATCTAATTGCAGTGCTTACATGAAGCTGGAAAGCACCAAAATGTGCAGCTGTTAGATTTGTATTGTGATGCCCTTGATCCAGATGTTCATAAATCTGGGACTTTTTATAAGCATGGGAGATCTTTAAGGAATGGGTGTTTATCTAGTCAATATGATGACTCTCCCCAAAGACCTTACATATTTAAAGCAGTGAATAAGGTAAGGTAGGTATCATATTTTTCTGAAAATTAATTTAAGTGGTAATCGATTTGCAAGATTTATGTGTCATCAGCTTGTGCATTATTTAGTCATCAGAAATGAACCTAGAGAATGTAGAACTCATAGGTGAGTTTATATGAGTTCATGGGGGCTATCTTTCATCAATCCTGAATTGTACCTTAGCTTAACAGAAGTGTTGTACTAAGAACCCTACACAGTAGACTACACTGCAAAACTCACCTAATGAACTGGTGTTATTCATTTTTTTTTTCTAACATCATCCTCTAACATGTATCTATACTTACAATTTGTGTTGAGAGTGGAGTGAGAAGGTGGGGGGGGGGGATAAGAAGTAAATTAAATCCTACATATGATATAGGAAAGTAATGTTCAGTGTCACGTATGTGTTGTTGTGAATGTGGTTTCAATGAATTAAATTCTTTTCGACGCATTGAATGCTGATTGAGGGCAGGATGCTTATTGTTATAGTTTTTTGTGGCCTAGGTGTTATGCTGACCTGTGTCCTCTCCATCTGATGTGTGGGCTTTTTGTATTGTCCCTTTGGTTTTATTTCTTTGTGATTTAATATATAATGATTAGCCTTCCTTTTAATTCTTAGTTGGAAATGAGTAAGGTGGCAAACTGCAATAATCTATACCCAACTCTGCTATTAGTGAGATACATGCTGCTGTAGTAGCATTCGGTCTTGTCAGTATTGACTTTAGTACATCTTATCTTTCCAAACATTTCATCACTGCTTATGGCAAGATCTATATTGTGTAATCATTGGTGGTAATTAGCTAGCAACTATTGGAACTCAAATAAAACTCCTTTGTCTTAATGATTCATGACTCTTGAGCTTGACAAATTGAATACTTGCCTGAACTTTAGGTGGACTTGGGTTTTATGACTTTATTTTAAAATCAAGCTGTGTTAAACTGGTAATACGTATTTGCTTCAACATTGGCATTCCCTTAGCTAGGGTTCAAGCTATAGCGAAGTTACTGCACTAGTCTGTCCTTACAGTGATACATGTGAGCCAGAAAAGTTGTTATACCTAGCAGTTTAAAGCTGATCTTTTTTTGATACTACTGATTCACAGTTGATCAAGAAGATTTCTCTTTCTGCAGATCCTACAAGTTAATGCACTTGTCAGGTTATTAAATAACTTCAAATCATATATTTTCATTTATGGTTAATTTGCAAGGAGTCTGAAAAAATAGTACTTCCTCCGTCTCATATCACAAATCGTGTATTCCTTTTTGGGTAAACCAAAATTAAAAGCCTATTTCTATTTATAGGTTGTACTTTTTGACAATAGTACCCTCTTTTTGATGAGTTGTCATCTTTTTTTTTTTTAATTTTTTTTGGGTACTAATGATGTCTTTTGACATCAATCCCAACACTTTCTCTCTCCATCTCTTCAATAATTTTCAAACTCTTTCTCTCTCTCTCTCTCTCTAACCCCACATGCACATATGTAATCCCAATCAATAGATTTAAGGAATCAACATCCTCCTAAATTTCCGTGAAATAACCCAAATAGGCTTTGTAATATGAGACGGAGGGACTGTTGATTTGGTTAATGATCATACTCTCTCCGTTTATTTCAGTATTACACTTGGAATGACACATAGTTGTCGGCAAATTATTTGAATTGAATATAAAAGATGTAGGTGGTAATTTGGAAATTAATATAAGAAAAGATAGTGGAGTTATATTTTATTGAAAAAGTGAGTTATGCGAGAGGGAAATAAATAATAAAGAAGTAAAAGTGGTTTGAGTGGGGACCGTGAGAGGAGAGAAAACTAATATTTAAATTGAGTAGGTGCCAAAAAAAAAAGAAGTGTAACACTTAAAAAATCGGTCGCAAAAGGAAAGTGTAACTCTTAAAGAAAATACGGAGGGAGTATATTGAAGTCGGAGTAAATATTTTAGGCATTTGCCTTTATAATTTTTCTTATTATTTTTTTTATGAAAATTTGCCAAGAATAACACGATCTTTGAGCGGTCTTCCAATAATAGAACAACCTTTGGATTATTTTAAAATGGAACGACCTTTGATACACATCTTTCAAAAGTGGAACAAAAAACGTGTCACATGCGTGATAAGTTAAAATAATTTAATTTTTTTTAACATTTTTTTTAATAATAATAATTTAAAAAAACTTAAATTAAAAAACTTAAATTTTTTTTAAACAAAAGAAAGAACTGAAATTAAAAAAAAAAAAAAAAAACCCTTCCCCCGACAGCCACCCCATAATTGCCGGTGGCCACCGAGACACCGACACAAGAAATGTATTGAGAGATTAACAATTCTCTCCCAACAAGCTCCTCCTTCCACCATAGCTCACACAAGCTAGAAGTGTCGGGTTACAACTGTAATCAGATTCGAAAAGGATCAGGAAACAAATCGCAGAAGAGAAGGCATTTTGGGGATGTTTTGTACAAATTAGGGCATGTAAGCATAGATTTGAAGATTGTGAAGATGGGTTTTTTTGTTGGGGGAGTCGTTTGACTTGGGTCGTTGAATTTTGAGAGGATCTTCTAGGTTTTTTCAACGGCGGAGAAGGTAGAGTTCTCGGGTTTTGATGGGATTTTGAATCCTAAAACCACCACTTGATTTGGGAGTTTTAGAGTTTTCGGGTGGTGGTTTAAGGAGGGAAGGGGGTGGAGATGATCTTTTAAGGCGCGAAATGGGTTCAGTGGATGTGGGTTGGGCGCCGACCGGTGGGAAGAGGAGGGTTTTCGAGGGGAGGGAGGAGGGTTGTAGGGTGGGAGGAAGGTGGTTAAGAGGAAGGAGCTGTGTGGTTGGTTGTGGATCTGGTCAAGAGGGGTGCCGTCGAGCAAGGGAGGGTTTATTTTAAAAAAATTTTAAGCAGTGTTACCCGGAACGCAGGACGGTATAGCGTTCCCCGTACTGAAACGTCCATACCGAAACGCGGATTTGACGCGTTCCAGTTCGCGGTGGTTTGCGATCAGGTTCGTCGGTCGATGACGGAGAACCCAATTTTAGTAAGATCTAAGTCGCAGTCTTGAGTTACAATTGGGTTAATATTTGTTTATAATTTCGGGTATAATTGAAAGCTTTTTAAAAGTTTTATCAGTGGAGGAGGGTGATGAAGAAACATGTAAATAAACAAGTCTTGAGCAATAAATAAAGATTGTGGACCCCCATATCCCCTTTTCTTTCTATTTTTTTTTGAAAATTGCCTACACAGTAATCAGTAACTTATTTTATACTATGTATAACTATATAGCATGGGAAATCGGGTAATACATTAATTACAATTTCCAGAATTCTAGCTTTATCTTTTTTTTTTTTTAAAAAAAAAAAAAAACGAATATGTAATTAATTTACGGTAAATATCAATCTATAAAATTAAAAATTTAAAAAACCCTATTAAAATAAAGACCATACATTCCGCGAACTCTAAAAGCTATGTTCCACGTTCTCGTACCAAGTTCTGAACGTCCCGCTTTCCATGTAACGTTGATTTTAAGTATTTTTTTACAAAAATTGTTAAAAAAATCTGACCAATGACATTAGATTGATATTTTGACATTAGTAACCATGTAACGTTGATTTTAAGTATTATATAGGTTACTAACCGGTTACATTTCACAAAGATCATTCCATTTTGAAATAATTTGAAGGTCATTTCATATATGGAAGACCAGTGAAACCGTGAAAGGTGGTGTTATTCTTGGTAAATTTTCCCTTTTTTTTATTTTATTTTTTTTATTTATTGTAAGCTTGTATAAGGTTGGTGGTAGCATGTAACATGACTACTATACAATAATTTCAGCAAGGTTGGATAACTTCAATGTGCTAGAATTTTGTAGTTAATCTCTTCTTACGATTGGTGATACAATATCGTTAAGATAATTTGCTTTTTATTTGGACCTCATCACACGTAAAAGCTACTACTTATGTGTATCAAAATAATGTTCTCGGAGGATTTTTGGGTAATTGCAAAAACTTGGTTTACAAATGGTGGTTCTTGAATGTCCAATTACCCAATCTCATTAAAGTCACCCTTTCCCTTAAAGCTATCTATATCCTAATGTTCAAGTACACAATACATTCTCATGTAGGAATTTCTATGCAAATAATTATTTATTCAGTCGTGCTCATAGCCCATACTACTGTGTTGTGTATAATGTTGCCCGAATCCATAAGCCCAATTATCCACGTCTCAAGGTTTCTAGAGATTCTAGTATATATTGGCGGAAAATTGTGGAAGATACTAGCATTTGTGAATTCTAATGAAACTTCTAGATTTATGTGGAAATATATAGGGGTGAGCAGAAAAAGTGGGTACCCTTTCCCGGACCCGGAACTGCTTTGAACCCACCGGGTCCGGACCCGGATCTGGATCCAATTCCATATTCTTGGAATTGGTTCCAATCGGGTCCGGTTCCAGTTCATGATTTTTTGGATTGGTACCGGGTGGGTTTCTAGTTCTAAAGTTTAAGGACATGCATAGTAAATCTGGTGGACTTTTAGTTTTGCGTTAATGCGCATATTGTAATAGCCAGCCCACTTAAACTCTAAAAGCTATACCCACTTGAAAATTCAGCCAACTCACATGCTCAAACCCTAGATCTAAACTCTTCTTCATTCTCTATGCTCTCATCTTCATCCTTTTAAACACATCAGCCATTCTTTCTACATCACTGGTTTTCTTTAATTTGCTCTTTCATTTATTCTCCACATTATTATATGGCCTTGATTTAATTTAAGCTAGCAGCTTTATCATTATTTTTACCATTCTTTGAGCATATTTCGCAAAAATCGGTTGTTGATGATGAATTTTATGATGATGGAACAACAACAAAGATGGAGCAAATTGAGGAGTTTATACTTTGCAAATCGTTGATATGCTATGTAATTTATCGATAGCTAATAAATATATTTATTATTATTATTGGCAGTTTAAAGGGGATTTTAAACAATTTTTAAAGTACCGGGTACCTAGTATTGGAATTGGTTCCGGAACCGGTTCCGATAATGTTTGACCTGGTACTAACCAGTTCTGGGACCGGTTTTGATGTTTTCATCCGGGTACCCAATTTTGCTCACCCCTAGAAATACAAGGAGCATGCATGTGTAGATGTTTCTTCCCCTACAGACTTCTTCCACCGCCATACGTCAATTAAAAATTATGGTATGCTAGGCATCATTTGGGAGCATCCAATCCATCTGCATACTCTAATGTTCCTCCAGGGCTCCAATCCTCTAATACACTCTATGAGTGTTCCCCAAAATTTTGGCTTGTAGAGATTATTTATAGTCAATTGGCTCTCTAGGAATTAGAAAGACTGGAGATACTCTTATACACACTATCTCCTTATCTACCATCCCCTTCAGTCTGTGAGTCATAGTGTGAGTTATTATTATTATTGTATTACTCACCGTTAGGGTTTTTTTGGCCTTTTTGGAGGATTTTTAACATGTTAAATATTGTTTCCCTCTTTATTATTCATCTTGCCTTTATTATCTTTTTCACATCTCTACTTCCGCTACACATTCACAACCATGACATACTTTACTGGTTCTAAACCTTTTTTCTTTTCTTTTTGAGTTATTACTTTTATTTAATATATAATAATCTTTTGTTCTGATTATGCTATAGAGATACTTTTAAACTTCATTTGGTTTCCTTACTGGATAAATAAACATGTGTCTGACCAGGGATCTTTCACCAGCAGCATTATCTGAATTGCTTAATAACTGGGAGAGACATGCTGATGGCGTATGCGAGGTATGATTATGACTTATTATTGGCTGTTGCTGATTGAATATATAATGGGAAATTATAACTGTGTCATGCACAAATGTGTTGGTTAACTTAGACTGTATATGCTGTTTGTCATCTTTTGACCTTGTTGTATGCCTAGTTTTTGGATGTTTCCCTCCACACCTCTCAGAAAAGAAAGGGTGGGGTTTTTCTGCTGATTGTCATCACGCTCTTTTAATAAATAAACCAATGAGAAATGTATAAAGGTAGAGAGTTTGCTAAAAATTAGTGTTTGATATTTTTCCAGTGGGAAGACTTGGTGTAATGTCATATTTTATAGTCATAATTTTACAATATAATCAGCATCATTAGCAATTTAAAATTTTCCGTTATGTTGCTATTGGACGTTCTTAAAATTTTTACAAAGCTTCTGTTACTACATACTATTCTTAAGTTGGAAGATCTGAAAATATACTGAGGTCTTTTATCTCTAATTCTCTATCAGACTTGTCAGAGATCTGAATTTTTGCTTGAGATATCTTGAATTATTATTTTAGCAGTTAAGCTTTAAGATATCAAATATGCGAAGCTCTGATCTTTTGCTTGGAAGTTTGTTTAAGAGATTGGAGCTTAGGCAGTGAAAGTGTCATTTAGGTCTCCTAAATTTCCTCCATTCTCGTCTTTTTAATTCTCCTTTTGGCTTTAGGTATCAATCTAATATATTGGAGTTACAATGTGATAAGATTATGTACTCGAGTAAAATCTTTCTCCCTTTTGTCTTGATGTGGTGTTGCTCCATTCTACATATATTCTTATTTTGGTTTTGTAAAGTTTAGAATGGATGATCTATGTGATCTTAAATAATTGTTTGCTGAAAATATCCCGAGTATAGTTTATCAAAGGAATAAAATTCATTAACAAAAACTTGTTGAAAAACAGGAGAAAGACAGCCTCTGTATCCATGTTGATGGAAAGTGTAAGATAATGTAACGAACTGCTACTACTTTCACTCAATATTTCACAACTAAATGGAAGAACAAATAAAAAAAGAAAAAACAATAAGAAAAGTAAGGGAAAATGGGCTGCTTTTTGATTGATAAAGATAGAAACTTTCTTGCAAACGGTGGCTTGAGGTCACCACTCTCCAAGGTGACTTCAGGTCACAACTGTCCAGGATTCAATTACCATAAAAAATAGCTGACTAAGCCAATCCCTACTCCCCCTTTTTATATATGTACACAGCTAATTTTAATCAGCAAAAAGGCCAGCTAGGCTTGCACAAAAAGCAAGGTCTGCACAGGTACACCTAGCCCCTGCAGCAGTCATTTGTTGCTAAGTGACTGCCCACTGAAATTGATGTGCTGCTGCTGCTCCACTCCTCTTGCCCCAACAGTCTGCCTTCCCTTTTTTGTGCCTCTTTTCATAAGTGATGATACCTTAAGGCTGCACCTCATAGTTCGTTGCATATAATGTCACCAAGTTGTGAACCAAAGTTGGATCCCGTCTTCTTTTCTAAAGCTATTCACACTCATCAAAGCATCCAGTTTGCTAAAAAAAATTGGTTCTCTGGGCTTTAATTGACTGCAATGGGTGGTTCACTTGTTAGGTTAACCAACTGTCTTTGTGCAGATTTATTAGTTGTCAGTTTGTGTATTTTCCTTCCTTCTCCTTACTTTTTTTGAATAGCAAAAATATTTCATTAATTAAAAGTCATACGACATCTACAAATATACAATAGAGATTTGACGTTAGCAAATACATAAAATATTGAATCAAATAAAATTTTCATTCATTAAAACCAAGATCGTCGAGTAGATCTTGCAATGTGGAACATCTCTCGCTTATATCGCTTGAAAATAAAGCCTTGTTGGAGAGACAATCTAACAATGCTTTGTAGCTGTGAGGATGTTTTCTTTCTGATTCATCTGTGTGTATTTGAAAACTTGATAACTTTTTCAGCTACGAAATAATTTCATGACAATCCATTAGATCTAATATCATGGATTCAAAAGTAAGAAATTTCTCCCCCGAAAAGAGGAGATAAACCTTGTCTTTCAAAGAATGTCGAAAAACCCTTGTCATCAACCCTTTCTTTCGGGGAAGAAAAGTTCCTCCCAAAAGGATTAAAGGAGGCAGCATTATTATAAACCTAAAAAAACTTTAAAAAAACAAGGATTGGGGCTTTCTACCGGTTAAAACCAATGGAAGCCGCTTCAAAGTTCAACAATGGAGGCTAGGGTTTTGGATAGAGGAAGGAGGAGAGAGGAGAGAAATTTTATTTTTTGACAAGCTTTTGATTCCTTCTCCTTACTAGATGTGTCTTTGACTTTGTAAAATACTCTTCACTTGGGACGGTCCAACTTTAGGCACTTTGCTGGGTGAAAATAGACTGAACTAACAAGGAAGAAAGGTTTCTCATTTTCCATAAAAGTATCAATCTTTTCTTGTAATGAAGTATAACTTCAAACATCCATTCTAATCAAGCTGCCTGACAAGCATGACGTGTTTTTCTTCCACTGCTTTAGTCAATTTTGTAAATATAATTAGTAGGTGCGCCACAAAATATAGGCACTGTACGTAGCATTCCAAATTGTCATTTTTTCTAACCTTATGGCTTGAGATATGCTCATATTCCAGCCATGGTATAAAAACTCGGCCTTTACGTCGCGAATCACCCGAGACGTAATGGATTTTGAAGTTGCCGTTCCGATATTGCGGTACAGCACGCTGCTTTACAATACTCCGCGATTTCGGCCGGTACGGCTGTTTTAAAATAAAATTCGGCCGCATCAAACGTTACCAGCGAATATCCAAAGTTAAAACACCGAGTTTTAAGCTCTTTTGACATTTTTTCCGGCGAGAGATCTGAATTCTCCATAAAAGTCTAGTTCTTTTTAAATAAAATGGGGTACAACTGATTAACAAACATCACTTTTTATCCTCTTTTCAAATGGACCTGACCCCACTGCTTCTCTTTCCTTCTGCTTTTTTCTTATTTCACATCCCACGTGACCCCCACCCCTTCTCTTCCCTTTTTTTTCAATGTACTAGGGCCCTACGCTAAAAAATAGATTTTAATTTTAAAATGTAAAGAGGGGTATAAGAATACATAGTAGTAAAAAGGGAAATATGGTGGTATACTCTGTAAAAAATATAAGATTTTCAAAATTTAAGAGAAAAACCATTGTAAAAATACAGAGTTTAAAACTTAAATATAATTTTTAATTCATACGCGACAACCCCGATACGATCCGCGATCAACGCATCAATTCTATTACCGAAACACGCGACCGTTTCCGCGATTGCATCCAAAACTGCATTTTCGTACTATGATTCCAGGTATATATTGGATAGCCTCATTTTATCATGGAATTTTTGTTTATTTATTTGTAAGTTTGCGGTCTGCCCAACTGATATTTGATGAATCATCCTCTGTTTTTTAAATGTCTTTCTGTATAATGTTTTGACATGTGTATGACAATTCTTTGATGGATGCTTTATACTACCTCCGTTCCAAATTACTCTCAACTTTGGAATATTTTATATCTCACAAATAATACCCCAAAGTTGCGAGTAATTTGGACTGGAGGTAGTATATGCTTTCTTACTTATAAAATATACTAAATGTTCACTTGCTATAATTTCGATCTTTAAAATTGTACCTGATTCAGCCATCTCCATGAATCTTTTTAATATCATAGATTGGCGATAAAGTCAAGGAGCTGCAAGTTATGATGACTGCAGAAAGCAAGAGCTCAGGAAGCGATTTGATGTATGATTCCTCGTAAGATTCTGTCTTTAGTCTATGCTGTTGTTAACTGAGCTTCTCCGTTCCTCCTATTTTTCTGATAATGTTTAACAGGTTTATTAGGTGGCTCAAACCTCTGATAGGTAGACTTTGCCAGTTGCTCAGCTGTACTGTTGTCAATGTGGCCTGACCAGTTGTGGAAACCGAATCTGGGACCTATAAGGGAGAAAATAATTCATCCAAGAGATAATTATCAAACTGAATTGAAAAAAATATTCAACACTACACGTCTACTAGATCTAGAGTTTACATTTCAAAACCTTAGATTTCAAAAGCAAGGCAATGGACTGGATGAAACTTTAAAGGGTATTAACTTGCCCGAAGGGGGCAACCTTCCTCGTAATTCCATTGTTGTTTGTGCGTGGTTGGTCATGATTGCGAGAGAGAGAGAGAAAGAGGTCATTTGTGGATAAGTAGGAGGTTTGACATGGTAGGAGAGTATGCTTTAAACTTGTTAGGTGGGACCTTTTTTTTTTCCTTCTTTTATTAAGTACCTTTCAAATTACCATCTGTATTAGAAAACAATATTTTTTATTTTATTTTTTATATTTACTGTCTCTTAATTTCTTAAATACCATGCTTTGGCTTTTACTACCATGTAAAATGTTTTTTTTTTTAACCATCTTAAGTTTATCAAGTTATTTGATTTCACTTCCTTAACTCGAATTCCTTCCAGATATGGGACTTACTAACTGATTTTTTTTTTTTTTTTTTTTTTTTTTTTTTTTTCCCTTCAATTTTACTAACTCTTTTTGAGTTGTTACATTCTCCCTCTTTATTTATCATGTTCATCCTCTTTAGTTGTCATTATCCCATTTTTGGTTGTCCTTAGATGGTTTGATGAGGCAATTCAACATATTAAGGCATCAATTTAGCCTACATTAGTTCAATATGAAGCAAGTGAACTTAATTTTGAAAATAACTCTCTTTCAAAATATTCTAATTTGCATATGAACCTTAAGTTTACATATTGAATATGATGAAAAATTAGTCATTTTAACCTAATAATAATATACATTGTGAAAATGAGTGCAATATGAAGTTATTTACTAAAATATGGACTTAATTTATAAAATAATTAAATTAAATTGATAAATTCCCCAATTTTCCCTAACTAAATAAGTATAATTTAGAAGCTTGATTCTCTTCCGATGAACACCAGTATAATTGAAGCCACCTTTCAAAAAAACTTTCCCGAATACATCACCATAAATTGTTTAAAATCCGAGTTAAGATACTGAATTAAAGAGTTGATAAACTTAAGGTGGTACTTGAAGATAAAACGAAGTAAAATATATTAATAACCAAAATTTGTTTTTAAAAAAATCTCATTCCTTTTGTATTGTTTTTTATTACTAATTCACTATAGATACTTAGTTTAAGAAAGGTTTTGAAAAAGTTAGTGGTGTAAGATACTGGTGGATAAAGTAAGAGAGATGGAATACAAAGGTGGGTGAGTCGAATAAAAAAGATAGATAAAGTAAGAGAGGGTGGAAATGTGTAATTATTGTCGGGTAGGATCTATAAGATGAAGGGGGTTTGCCAAAATGGAATAAAGTGGAACTGATTTGAAAAAAGTTTTTGATTGAAAATTGAGTAAAACAAAAATATAAGCAGTAGGTAGTAAGTACTCCATCTGTCCCCATAAGTGTCCCCTTTTCTTTTTTGTTTGTTTGGCCCTTGACAAAATGAAATGAAATGGATTCGATTTGGAATTAGGACTAATTGGAAAGCGATTTGAACAAAAATAAAAAGGAGGTAGTATATACTCCATTCATTGCATAATAGTGTCCCCTTTCTGTTTTTATTTGTTTGGCCCTTTCAATTTCTATAAAAGGCAATGACCCATGACTTTTTATTAGTTATCTCCCCTGCTACCCTGCTAGTCTCTACCAAAGGTTAGGGTTTCACTTTCTCTTTCATTTAATGTAAATACTACTCCCTCTATCCCAAAAAAGTTGTGCTTGTTTTGAGTTTTTCAGGGAAATTAAGGAATAGGGAGATTCCAAGATTTTAGTGCATTCTCATGTCCTTTTTGGCCCTGTAAATTTTTTATTTATTTTTGTGATACAAAAAATAAAATCAGCATTGATGAACAAGGAAAAATATGTGATCTTTTTATTTTTCCCAGTGTGAAAAGAGCGAAAAGCCAAAAATAACTCATCTCCTCTAATAGTTATGACACGGATTTTTGTGAAGAAAAATGGGGCATGCATGATATTATAATGTGCTGATGAGTGCATAATTGTCCAAAATCATATGACAAAATATGAATGATTTACAAATGAGCACAACTTTCTGGGACGCTCGAAAAGTTGTCTGGGTACATCTATGTAGAGGGAGTACTCTGGGATATATATTCCTTTCTTTTTGAGAAACAAGTACTTCATAAGACTGTTTTTAGTACAACGCATTGTTTTAATTTATTAATTAAATTATTGATTGACATCCTCCATCATTCTTGTATTTCTTTCTCCTACTCACTCTTCTTCATCATATCTTCACTTCCTCTTCTTTCTGCTCTATATCTCCTCATCTTCCCTTGCTTCACAATATGTACTTGCTTAATCTATAAAATAATAGTGTAGCTCAGAACCCATGAATTGAAGCAATACGATAAGGTGAAGATGGGATTTTATTACAAAATAAATTATTTGTGTTGCTAAAAGTTGTACAAGCAACATCAATAATATGCTCCTACTTTGCTTATTTACGGAAATTTGGAATCTAAGCAAAAAAATAAAATAAATAAATAAAAGGGCTACAGTTGGAATCTTTCGTCAAAAGAAATTACTGCGCGCTTAGCTGTAATGAATTGGAGTAGCAAACAGCACTTTCTAGGCATTCAATGGTAAAGTTACAGGATACTAAGGAGAGGTTGGGAGAGAACAATGCAGCCAGTACACTGAAGTAGTGATGCAGTACCTTGAGGAAAGCAGTGTCCTACTTCTATTTATGAAAATTCAAATGAAGTAGAAAACAACTTGGAACATGAAACTTTCATTATAAGGGGCAAAGGAGTGAGGAGGTCTGTAATCATCCTCACTAAATGCCCAACTTTTTCACTGAGATAGCACCTTTTATCTGACCTCTGTATTCGAGTCCCTGTGTATTTGAGTCTGAGTGTCATAGACTCGAGAATAGGACAATCATCTTTGATACATAATATTTTAGCATGAACTTGAATAAATCTGATGTAGTTATGAGTCTGAGCACCTTTTATTTTAGTCCCCTGTACACAAGATAAGAATAAGCATCTTTAATATAAATCATATTGGCATAACCTAGGTGAATCTGAGCTAAGGTTTATGAACAATTTTCTGATGTCGCTAGTGTGTGTATGGAATTGGTTTTAGTTACCCACCGATGACAAACAGTTTGTGGAGAGAAGATTGTAGCAGTTGTATCCATGTGGATTTGCATGTTAATTAAGGCCATAACCCCTTGTGTCTCTTCAGAAGTTATTTCTTCTCCACTAAGTCACTACCCTTACGTATAAGAAGGGAAATAGGCAAGAGAGAGAGTAGATCAACGACTCCAATATGACATTTGAATTATTGTTATTTATATAATTCATCCTGAATAACATGTCTTATTTATACATCATCCTATCTTTGAAGTATTGATAGGAGCTTGTTTTCCAGTTGGTGAAAACAAATATCTGCATCATAATAGTGTGAAAATCGGTCACTGAAAAGGAAAATGTGAGAGAGTAGATCAACGACTCCAATATGACATTTGAATCATTGATATTTATATAATTCATCCTGAATAACATGTCTTATTTATACATCATCCTATCTTTGAAGTATTGATAAGAGCTTGTTTTCCAGTTGGTGAAAACAAATATCTGCATCATAATAGTGTAAAAATCGGTCACTAAAAAGGAAAATGTGAGAGAGTAGATCAACGACTCCAATATGACATTTGAATCATTGTTATTTATATAATTCATCCTGAATAACATGTCTTATTTATACATCATTTTATCTTTGAAGTATTGATAGGAGCTTGTTTTCCAGTTGGTGAAAACAAATATCTGCATCATAATAGTGTGAAAATCGGTCGCTAAAAAGGAAAATGTGAGAGAGTAGATCACCGACTCCAAAATGACATTTGAATCATTGTTATTTATATAATTCATCCTGAATAACATGTCTTATTTATACATCATCCTATCTTTGAAGTATTGATAGGAGCTTGTTTTCCAGTTGGTGAAAACAAATTTCTGCATCATGATAGTGTGAAAATCAGTCACTAAAAAGGAAAATGTGAACATGCTTAGTGAGGCATGTTGTCAGGTGCTTATTGTTTTAATCTTAATGTAATTATTTCATTATTATTGATGTGATAGAGTTGTGGTAGTCACAAATCTACCACAATCCTCTATATGAGCTTGGAACCGGCAATGCTTATATTGAATTTGATTCCTAAGATGAGGGATAGATGTAAAATCGTATATATTCAGGGAAAGTTAGATTTACGAATATCGAGGATAAGATGAAGGAGAACCAATAACTTTGGTTTTGGGCACGTGACATGTCGACATAATTGATGGAAGGATGGGATGATAAATATTTCAAAAGAAGCCAAAGGAGACCAATGATTTGAAGAAAATGGATATGCAAGAGAATCAGTCTGGTTTGGGCTTCTGACATGCTGAAATGAGGATGCACTGGCAAATCTGTGGGTGGGAGGTTGGGATAATATAGATTTCAAAAGAAGCCAAAGGAGACCAAAGATGATTAATGAAGGAAGTTAAAAATGCTTTGAAGAAAATGGATATGCAAGAGTATGTAACAATAGATAGAAGTAATGAAGAGTATTTATGGATGACTACATGAGATATATTCTTGGTTCATGCAGCCGATCCCATCTTTTTGGGAATAAGGCTTTGGTCGTTATATTTTAACTGTTCTTACTTTTTTGTGCAGTTGCTCATAGTTTATTACATTGTTTGTTTAGGTGGCCGTTTGCATCTAATCATTTTCATATTAGGATATTGGAGGCATTAGGCACTAGCATATTAAAGTATATTAATCTGGAACAGTAAAGCTGTTCCATTATCCTTTTCATTGTCAAGAGCCATAATTTTCTGTATAATCTGTTTCTCAGGTCCCAAAAATCAGATGCACCTAAAGATCCAAAATTATGGAACAGTAAAGCTGTTGTATTGATTGAATGGATGCTTCGGTAATGATCATCATCCCTTTGCTAGACAAACTTTTATTTTTTCTAGGGTTTATTTCCTATCTTATATGTTTGCTTCTGTATTAGTTGGTGAAGTTTAATCTGAAAACCTTAGCTTTTTATAAGTGCTATTTGTTTGATAATCTTTAATTTACTCTTCTTCTCGCTGTCTTAATTGGTAATTGATTGACAAATATATCTTTGATAGGTTTTTGTGTAACTAAACTAACATTCCTAGAAAAAATGTTTGTTTGCACAGAGATCAGATGAAGCCCATTGAGAGTTTTCCGTTTCATGAAATCTTGTGCTTTAAGATAGTTGACAAGCTTCAAACAGTAAGTATTTTATTTTTATTATTTATGCTTGCCAAAAGGATTCTATGTTTGCAGGTTCCCTGTAGGGAAATGTTGATTTTGTAAATGTATGATGCAAATATAGAAATTGGGGCTATTTCTGGTTAATGAAGTCTTGTCATCCTAAGGGCTTCTAAGTCTTATCTATTCCATCAAAGCTCATAACTTCACATCCTTAATACCCTTGAACATTTGCGCTTAACTATGCTTTTAATTTTTTAGCTCATATATATGATGGAGATTAATCTCATGGAGGAAGTCATCAGGCACATGTTATGTTTTATTGTCTTCTTTGGACCTTTGATATATGTCACTCCGTCTCTCTTTCCATAACTTTCTCATGCCCATCTCTTCCATGAATTCTCTTTAGTTGTGCAGAAGGTGACCCCTTGGGTTCTTTTGTGGAGAAATATGATTGTTCAATTGATGGTTTTTTGCTGTTAAGTAATGTTGTGATCGATGCCTGGTAGCAAATCTGTGGGCAGCTCTGGGCAATTAGCAATAGGAGAGCAACAGATATTCTAGAAAAGAATATTGAAAAAAGAAATAATTTCTAAAATATACTTTTTTCTACTGTGACGTTATTGTTGCTGTGATTTAAGAAGCAATACCCAACACGCCCAAGTCAAGAGATTGGATAATGGATCTGGCTTGGGCATCTTTTCGTTCATAGTGGGATATAGCCCGTCCCCTTGAGTGTACAGGACTTAAATTTTTGTTATGGGCAGCAATTTGATCTTTTTCTAGACTGATCAAGGGATAAATTAATGGCTGTTGACAATCGATAGGTAATTCTTTGTGTACAACTATTTGTTATTATCGTAGTTGCCTAAGCATTATATTTTCAACTGTGCTAGGCCTTGCTGGGAGATCCTAGAAGAAGAATTCAAGCTGATCTGCTGGAGCTCCAAAAATATTTGCACTGCAACTGTTGCAGCACTAGGGGAAGCAGATTGCTGCCATCACTTCATGACACTTCAATAACGTAAGTAGTTCTGACAATATTCAATACTGACATTAAGTTACTGTTTTTGTCTCGTTTTTATACTGGCGTGCTAATGTTATATTTTCTCTTATTTCTTTCCTCTTTAATTTCTGCTTAGTAATCCAATTATGAGTGCTGCTCTTGATCTACTGCTTTTATTGAGCGTATTTCCTTGTCTATGCTATATCCCTTTTGCTTTTCTTTTTCTTTTTCATAATTATTATTAGAAACAACCTTGTGTATGTCTGAGGTAAGGCATTGATGAATCTGTACAACATGGAATCTGTTTAAGGCTTTGCTAAGCTGGTTAAATTAGGTGAAGTTACAGTCTTTTGTGTTACCTCTTGCTGTCTCAAATTTTCAATGGGTGAAGTACATCATTTTAGAGTGTGAATTTGGTCTTGATGACGTAACGGTTGTTTGTGTCATTTCTAAGAGAATGAAAGTTTCTTTATTTACGAGGTTAATCTCTGGGATAAAAAAAATTTGTTTATCACATGGCATTTTGGTAAATAAATCAACAACTTTATCCAGTCATCATCACTGTAGCCTGTAGGACCCACTTTTATGGAAAAAGTTGTTGATTTATTTACAAAATTGCCATGTGATAAACAAATTTTGTGAATCTCAGAGATTAACTTGTATTTACCCTTTATTTTACTAATAAAACATTAAATGAAATAATTTTTTTCTCTTGTGAAGATATGTTCTGGCTCAAGAGCATGGTGATGTCATTAATGTTCACGATTGGTTCCAATCTTTCAAGGCAATTCTTGTAACTCCACCTACAAAAGCTAGGAGTAAGTCAAAGCATTCTTCAACTCCTAAGAAAAAGAAGGATATTAATAACCTCGGTGAAGCAGCAATTCAGTATCCTTTGATTTCTTTATTTGTAATTTAATTATCAATATTATTACTTATGTTGATGGTGCTTTAAGATGGAATACTCGAGTCTTTTATCCTTTGGGTGCTTTGGTGAACTATAATTGTGATATTGCTCATAGTGTAGTTTCAATTCTTTCAAATTTCTTCTTCTAGCCTGGTATTGATTTCCATTTTATTTAAATTAATCTCAGTGTCATGTGCTTACTGCCTCTAAGAAGTCCCACTGAATTATCCCAGTAAATTGAAATGATTCTGACTTGAAATCCTTAACCTTGTTTTCAAAAGAGCACGTTTCTGCAAGGCAGTTTCAGAACTCCAGGTCACTGGACTACTACGAATGCCTACAAAGAGGCGTCCAGATTTTGTGCAGAGAGTTGCCTTTGTACTGTAACAAGAATCATGAAGGCTTTACTATATGTGCATCATCTTGCATCTTTGGCATGAATTCCAATCTTGTAGGTATTTTACCGTCTCTATTTCCTCCATAGTGACAAATTGTGGTAGCCTATATACTGGCCACTTTTCTTTATAATGTGGTTCCTTATGACAATCCATGTTAGCCGATCCCAAATCATTTTGGGACTAAGGCTTTGTTGTTGTCGTCTCTATTCTCTATGCTTTGTTTATCCTCCCCGTTTTGTAATTTTATATCAATCAAAATCTGCAGGCTCACTGATGCTTTTGTTTGTACTTCACTTATAATTAAGAGAAAGAGGTGCTAAGAAGACCTTCCTGCCACAGCTAAATTATCAAGTGAAGCCGATCTTTGTTAGGGGGTTGAACCTTGCTGGTTCATCTATTATTGCTTGTAAGAAAGTTAACTTTTCACAATGCTATTGATATGTATGTATTTTTTTTTTATTTACTAATGGACAAGTTAACATCTTTTCGAAGCCAATAGAGCTTTATGCATTGTTCTCTTCAATTTTTATTTGTTATTATTTATTATTTTTTTTATTACTTATTACTTAACAACAATGACTTTCAAAATGAAACACTTCTTTAAAAGAACAATTAAGCTTTGGGGCTAGCCTGGATTCAGGGTAGCTAGTAGGGGGTAGATTTTATCAGAGGAAATAGACAGGAGCCTAATTCATGAGGGCAATATTTCAGGACTAAATTTATATATGTTTCGCATGACAATAACAGATTTCCCTGCTATTTCCGTTGCTCAAAAATATTGAAGAAATTGTTAGCCTTTTCGATTCGGAACTAGTTTTAGGGCTCGGACGATGTCTCGGATTGGATTATTACATAGAACTGCTATAGTATACGTTGTAATTTATGATTCAATTTTCTTGCAATAAAATTTGCTGTTTATATTGTTATTCGGTACATATTAATATTTTGTATTCAAAAGATTACTTAAAAAATCACGTAGCTTGGTGGTGAGACACTTAGTTCTAGAAGAAGTTGTGTATTCTAATCTTGAGGAGAGTTTTTTTAGTTATTTTTAGGAAATTTTAGAAAATAACACCTGAAAAAAGACAAAATTTTGTTTTTAACACCACAAATTCTCAAAGTTTTATTATAACACCACTTAAAATAAATTAAATTTTGGTTTTACCACCGGATAATAGAATCTGTAACGAAAATTAGATGTGGGTCCCACAAGTTAGTTTACCCTCCAAATACGATTCTCTCTCCTACAATTGAATGCTCAACTACTCCTCCTTCATTGAATTCGAATCCTTAATTCTTCAACAAACAAAATTCAGGAGACAATTCAAACCCTAAGTTGGAATGTGTGGTTGAGAAATTGAATTGCGAAGGGAGGTGTCAATATTGGGGCGAAACAACTCAGCGTGAAGTCGTCAGCCATTTTCAACCAAAAAAAGCTTGGATCTTTCGCGGATTCTGACAGCAACAACAGCAAGATTCCAAAACAGGTACTTTTCGAACCCTATAAAGTAGTTTTCAACAAGTTTTGAAGTTAATTATGCCATTTTCATGAGGAATGTAGGGTATTTTGGGGAAAAAAATAGGAACCCTAAAAAATGAAAAAATTGGGTATGAATTACTTTGTGTACTGTGCGAACATATAATTAAAGTTGTGTGTGAGTATTTTATGGTTGAACTAGTGTAATTGGTTAGCTTTTTTGTTTAATTATTTAGTTGATTATTGTGACATGTTGACTGGTTTGTACATATGTTGTGTTAAATATGCTGTCTTTTCTTGATTAAAGCATTTGTTTGACTGTGTAATTGTGTTGAGAAATGTTGTCTTGTGTTGACTTGCATTGTACCTGTTTATTGCATAGATAAATGGCCAACAACCAAGCAAGATTAATTGATATAGTATTCAGAGTGGGGGGTGCTTTTGTTCCCAAAAGAGTGTCCAAAACAAAACATTTGCTTTGCTAGTGTGGTGGATTATGTAACTAGAGGAGGGATGTGGTAGTGGACAAGATAGATGTGCCTTATTTGAGGGAAGCTGCTGTGCATGGGTTTATAATTATAATGTTCATGTCCCACCAAATTACAGATTGTGGTATAAACAAAGAGGGAGGACCATTAACACAGGTAGGAGGGAGTTAGTTAATGAAGAGGAGGTTAAGGGGCTATTAGAAACAGTGGGTGTGGAAGGGTATGTTGAGGTGTTTGTGACTGCTGATGAAACTTTAAGGCCCATTTATGAGGCCCAATCCACTCCAAAAAAGGATGAGAGAAAGGGGAAGAGTACAGGAAAGCCTGTACAAGTCAGGAAGAGCCCAAGACTTAACAAAATTGATCCTAAGCTCAGTGAAAGAAATGAATCTCCTCCTAAACCTAGATCTAGGCAGGATAAGGGTAAGGGGATAGAAAACAGTGAAGGGGTAGCTGGTAGTGGTAAGGTCTTAGATAAGGGGAAGGGGACAGTAAAGAGTGAAGGGGTAGGTGGTAGTAGGAAGGTGTTGGATAAGGGGAAGGGGAAAAAGAAATCTGTAGCCAAGGGTTTGGTTTTTGAGGATGTTAGTGAGGGCAGTGAATCTGGGAGTGAGGAGGGGTATTCTTCAACTGAAAGGAGTGACATTGATATAACTTGGGAGCCTGGTGATGAGGAGTATGATAGTGGGGATGAGAGGTGGTTTATACAAAATTCTGAAGAGATTTTGGACAAGGTAAATAGGAGTCTTGGGAAGCAACTGGATGTACATGACCAGGGGATTACAAAGGATCCTAGGTCAAGGCTGAATGAGAACTTGGATGTGAGTGAGGTTCAGCTGCAGGCAGAACTTGAGGGAGAGTCAGATGAGCTTAGGAGCCTAGATGGTTCATCAGATGAAGAGAACAACAATCCTTGGTTTAATGAGAAAACTGACTTCACAAGGCCTGTAGTTCTTGTAAACAGACTTAATTTTAGCAGTGCTTCAGTGTTGAGGAAAGCCCTTAGAGTGCATGCAATTGAGAATAGGTATGAATACTACTTCTTACACAATGATAGTAGTAGGATTACTATTCAATGTAAGAACAGATGTGGATGTAAGTATCAGACAAAGACAAGTAGGATGCCTGCCTGTATTTGCAAGGGTGGAGTGAGATGCAACTTCAAGATACATGCTAGAAAGTTAGTTAGGAAGGAGACTTGGCAAATTAAGAGCATGAGATTAAAGCACAAATGTGTGAGAAGCAGGGAGAACAAGAAGGTGACTGCAAAATTCATTGCAGAGAAGTACCTTGAGGAGTTCAGAAGTAACCCTACATGGAAGATTAAGCAGATCAGAGATAGGGTTCTTCAAGATTTGGGAGTTCAAGTGACCTACTTTAGGTGTTGGATGGCTAGATGTAGGGCTAAGCTGATTATTTTTGGTTCTGCAAGGGAGCAATATGCAAGGGTCTGGGATTATGGATAGGCTGTAATGAAATACAACCCAAGGTTTGGTTGTAATGTAGTTATAGATGGAATTGACCAGCCTGAGCCACCCTTGTTTTTGAGAATGTTTGTGTGTTTGAGGGCTTTGAAGGATGGATTCTTGAATAGTTGTAGGCCAATTATTGGGGTGGATGGCTGTCACTTGAAAGGAGCTTACCCAGGAAGATTTTAGTAGCAGTCTCTAAAGATGGGAACAACAACATTTACCCTATAGCTTGGGCAACTTGTGAGGCAGAAAACAAGGAGACATGGGTGTGGTTCTTGGATTCATTGATGAATACACTTGGAAGTTCAGATGGTGCAGGTTTCACCTTCATGTCAGACAGGCAGAAGGTAAAAATGTTTGTATCTCTCTTGTATTTATTGTGTTCTGCATTTAATTAAATTTGAATAATGATTGGTGTATTTGGATGCTGCAAAACAGGGATTGGTGGAAGCTTTTGCTCAAGTAGTGCCTAATGCAGAAACTAGGTTCTGTGTTAGGCATATTTGGGCAAATTTCAAGCTGAAGTTCACTGGATCAGTGTTCAAGGAACTTTTTTGGAGTGCTGCAAGGGCAACAACACAGGTAATTGATCACACTCTTGCTTTTTTCATTTATCTATTCATATTCTGCAACAGTTGAATACACTGTTATTGTTATGTCCATAGCTTGAATATGAAACAGCAATGAATGAAATTAAGGAGCTTGATGGGGATGCTTATGATTACTTGTCCAAGATCCCCACTAAACACTGGTGCAGACATGCATTCAGTGACAACTGCAGGTCCAACATGTTACTAAACAACATGTGTGAGACCTTTAATGCAGTTATTAAAGATGCAAGAGACAAACCAATCCTCACCCAAATGGAATGGATGAGGAGGTACATGATGAGGAGAAACAATGAGAAATGGGAGGACTCTAAGGAAATCAGAAGCAACTTGACTCCCTATGTTCATAAGTTGTTTCCAAGGATGAGCTATGTGGCTAGGAATTGCATTATTCAAGCTGCCAGGGATGACACTTATGAAGTGCAGCTCAAGGATGACCAAGTTCTTGTTGACTTAAGAAACTTCACCTGTTCTTGAAATCACTGGCAGTTGACAGGCCTGCCTTGTGTTCATGCCTTTGCCTGCATAATGGATCTAAGAAGTGATGCTGAGCAATATGTGAGCCCCTATTACAGTATGGCAACCTACAGAGCAGCATATGAGCCTGTGATTCAACCAATGCCAGGCCTTAAAGCATTGGGACAGGGTTAAAATGAGAGAGCCTCAACCACCAGCCTTTAAGGTGCAACCTGGAAGGCCCAAAATCCAAGAAAAGGAAGCTGGAGCCTGGAGAGGGAAGTTCTGCAACAGGGGGGAAAAAAGAAGGAAAGAAAAGGAAGAATCAATGCAAAAATTGTGGTGGATTCGGCCACTATGCCAAGACTTGCAAGCAGCCTAGTGTTCCTGAACCAAGTGAGCAAAAATCTGCAGGGAGACCACTTTAAATTCACCATGGGTAGTTCAGCAGAGGAAAAAGAGTGAGATCAGAGTTGCTCAAAAGGTAGCCTTTTAAAATTGTTTTACAACAACATTTTGTTTTTTTTTTAAAATAGTTGTAGCATCTTCACCTTTTCCCTTTTCTGTTATGCTGAACACATAGTGCAATAGGGGCTGGTCCAGGCAGCATTGCAAACATAACTTTCCCCCAAGAACAACCAGGCTGTGAACCACTGAGCAAGAGGAAAGGTTCTAGTAGTCAACCAACCAAGCAAATGTCCAGCCAACATACCACCCCTTCTTCAAGTCAACCTGAACCCAGAGGAAAAGAAACAGTGAGGCAAACTGGGGTTCAGACAAGAAGATCCAAGCTGCAGACTGTCAAGGATGTAAATTTGACTCAATGAACTAAGTGTTGTAACTAGTTTCCCACCTAGACTCTTTTGTGTTTGTTGTTTTGAACATTATGATGCAGTAGACAATATTTAACAATTTTAGGTTCTACTTTGAACTGGTACTGTTGGTGTAAGCTTTGAAAGCTTATTTTGATCAATTTCAACTTTGGTTTTAGTTTTGAAAAACCTCATTTTGTTAAGCAATGC